TCCTGGCTGTGGGGGCCAGGGTCTGTGCCCAGGGGACCAGTGTAATGACCTACAAAGCAGTGTTGCTAGATATTCATTCTGATTTGACATCTCCTCTGGCTGAGTTACACAACAATTTCAGGGCTGAGAATGGTAATCCCACCCTGTTGTCCTTTGTCTCTGGCTGTCCTCAGGGATATTTCTCCCTTCAAGCATTCACAATGCTTCCCGTCAGTTGAGGTAGGGATCTTCTGCCAGGGAACTCAAGATAGTGGGAGATTCTGGTAGTCCATTTGAAACTCATTTTTTTCCAGTGTAGAAACTTGTGAGTTGGGTAGAAATTTCCCATGCACTTGGTGGTAGGCAGATTGAAGGGTATTGTGGATATGGAAATCCAATTTTCCTACCATCTGCTTAGTATTTTTATTTCTCTGGGGCCCTATATAGGGTATCAACCACATACTTGATTTTGGGGATATTCCCAGTGATAGTTGCAGCACTATTTGTTTTTGGGTTTTGTGGGGGGTTAGTGAAGCCAGCTGTTTCATGCTGTCATTGTGGAACCCAAAACTCCATATTTGGAGGTATTTTTGCCTGTCATAACTTGGGGATGTGCTACTGACTTCTAGCAGATACACAACAAACCCACAACAAAAATTATCCAGTTTAAAATGTCAATCAATAGTGTGAAAAGTTGAGAAATCCTAAACTAATCCTTTCAGATATGGTGAGATTCACATGAAAAACTGAGTTTGGTATTTCCTGAAAAGTGTGTACACATATGTAATGGAGGAGGGGAGAGAGAGGTAAAGGAGAAAAGATGGAAAATATGTTTGCTTACAGTTCAATCTTTCCTAGATCATTACTCTTTTTCTATTTTTCTTATCTTTTTTCAGCTTATTAAAAAATTTATTGTCATAGAAAAATTCCCATTTCACCTAAATTTTCCAATTTGTTTGTATAAAGTCTTACATAATATTCTCCCAGAACTTTAAAAAAATTTCTTCTATATGTGTAGATATATACTCCCCCCCTCCATTTTTATCTTATCTTTTGGGGAGAAGTTATCCTTTATATTAACACTTTCTGAAATTTTACTTTATTGGTCTTTTTTAAATTAAATCATAAAAAGGTAAATCACATATACATTAATGCATTTATGGGGTACATGTGCTGAATTCATATACAATTTGGAATGTTTACAATGTACTAGTTAATATATCTCTCACTTCATTTACTTAATTATTGTGTTAAGACATTTATACTCTAAACTTGGTAGATCTGACATGTACCCTTGCAATATGCACCATAGGTGTGGTCTGGCCATTCACCCTCTCTCCATCGGACCTCCTCCCTCCCCACCCATACCCCCCTTCATCCTGGGCCATAGTGTGATCTACTTCTCATATGAAAGTGTGAGTGATTGTAAATTGGTTTCATAATAGTACTGAGTACATTGGATACTTTTCCCTCCATTCTTGAGATATTTTACTAAGTAGGATATGTTTCAGCTCTGTCCATATAAATATAAAAGAGGTAAAGTCTCCCATCTTTTCTAAGGCTGTGTTATATTCCATAGTATACATATACCACAATTTATTAATCCATTCATGGGTGGATGGGCACTTGGGTTTCTTCCAAGACTCACCTATTATGAATTGAACAGCAATGAACAATCTGGCACAAATATCTTTGTTATAAAGTGATTTTTGGTTTTTTGGATATACTCCTAGTAGAGGAATGGCAGTATCGAATGGCAGGTCTACTTTTAGATCCCTGAGTATTCTCCATACTTCTTTTCAAAAGGGACACATTAAGTTGCAGTCCCACCAGCAGTGCAGAAGTGTTCCCTTTTCTCCACATCTACACCAAAATCTGTAGTTTTGTGATTTTTGTTATGTGAGCCACCCTTACTGGAGTTAGATGATATCTTAAATTGGTTCTGATTTGCATTTCTCTGATGATTAAAAATGATGAGCATTTTTTCATGTGTCTGTAGGCCATTACAGTAGTGCTAAAGAAGGATGAAATATTTGAGAATTTACCTAACAAAGGCCATGAAAGATCTCTATAAAATAGAGAATTATGAAACTCTGAGAAAAGAAATATCTGAAGATGTTAACAAATGGAGAAACATACCATGCTCGTGGCTGGGAAGAATCAACATTGTGAAAATGTCCATATTACCCAAGCAATATACAAATTTAATGTAATCCCTATCAAAGCACCACTGTCATATTTTAAAGATCTGGAAAAAATAGTACTTTGTTTTATACGGAACCACAAAAAACCTCAAATAGCCAAGACATTACTCAGAAATAAAAACAAATGAGGAGGGTGGCGCTTGTGGCTCAGTGGGTAGGGTGTTGGCCCCATACACCGAGGGTGGCGGCAGGTTCGAACCTGGCCCTGGTCAAACTGCAACAAAAAAATAGCTGGGCTTTATGGCGGGCACCTATAGTCCCAACTACTCAGGAGGCTGAGGCACAAGAATCACCTAAGCCCAAAAGCTGGAGGTTGCTGTGAGCTGTGACACTACAGCACCCTACCAAGGCAACAAAGTGAGACTCTGTCTTTTAAAAACAAACAGGCTCAGCAACCTGTGGCTCAAGTAGCTAAGGTGCCAGCCACACACACCTAAGGTGGCAGGTTCGAATCCAGCCCGGCCTGCCCAACAACAATGCCAGCTGCAACCAAAAAAAAAGAAAAAAAATAGCCGGGCACTGTGTCAGGCGCCTGTGGTCCCAGCTACTTGGGAGGCTGAGGCAGGAGACTCACTTGAGCCCAGGAGTTGGAGGTTGCTGTGAGCTGTGATACCATGGCACTCTACCCAGGGGGGGACAGCTTGAGGCTCTGCCTCAAAAAAAACAAATCAGGAGGAGTCACACTACTAGACTTCAATCTATACTATAAATCTATAGTGATCAAAGCAGTATGGTACTGGCACAAAAATAGATACGTAAATGTATGGAACAGAATTGAGAACCAAGAGATGAACCCAAATACTTATCGTCATTTGATCTTTGATAAGCCTATCAAAAATATAAATTGGGGGAAAGATTCCCTATTTAACAAATAGTGCTGGGAAAATAGGCTGGCAACTTGTAGAAGACTGAAACTGTACCCACACCTTTCACCATTAACAAAAATTGACTCTCACTGGATAAAAGATTTAAACTTAAGACATGAAACTATAAAGATTCTTAGAGAGAGTGCAGGGGAAACACTTGAAGAAATTGGCCTGGGAGAATACTTTATGAGGAGGACCCCCCCCAGGCAATGGAAGCAACACCAAAAATACATTACTGGGATCTGATCAAACTAAAAAGCTTCTGCACAGCCAAGAACACAGTAAGTAAAGCAAACATACAACCTTCAGAATGGGAGAGGATATTTGCAGGTTATGTCTCTGACTAAGGTTTGATAACTTTATTGGTCTTTAAAAGCTATTCACCTTTGGTTATATTTGCCAATCCAACCTTTTCATTTTATTAATTTCTTATATTCTCTATATTTATCCCTACTTTCCTGCATTTATTTTGTTCTTTTCTCATTTCTTGAGGTGAAAGTTTACCTCATTTGTTTTCAATCTTTCATATTTTTCTCTTTGGCTACAGTTGGCTTGGGTTTATTAAAAGGTTTTCCATTACATTTATAAATAGGTATTCTATTAAATAGTTTATAAATTCTACTTATATTTCTTTTATAGCCCAAAGGTAATTTGAAAGTATGTGAATTTATTTTTCCTCAGCAGATTAGTTTTTTTAGGGGAGAACTATCTGTTTTTACTTTTTATATTATGCTATGTATAAATAGCCACTTTGCAGAACTAGTAGAGACACCTTTTTATTTGATTTATGTATTTATTTTTAGACAAGAGTCTCATTTTGTTGTTCTCATTAGAGTGCTGTAGTATCACAGCTCACAGCAACCTCAAACTCCTGGGCTCAAGCCCTTGCCTCAGCCTCCCAAGCATTTGAGACTCCTTCACAATGCCCTACTATTTTTTAGAGGTGAGGTCTCGTTCTTGCCCAGGCTGGTCTCAAACTCCTGACCTCAAGCAATCCACTGGTTTTGGCCTCCCAGAATGCTAGGATTATAAGCATGAGCCACCACACTCAGTCATCTTTTTATTTTGGTAAATCATAAATTTATGTTGAATATTGCAAACAAAAAAGTAATTGCATTCTGCATATGGTGGACACAAAGTTTGCAAATTCTGTTACTTAGATCTCATACATCCATACTTACCTTTGATCTACTTGTTGTGGCACAAACTGCCAACTGCCTATCCTACCCAAAATCTCTTTCTCCCTGTGTTCTGCATTAAAAACAAACAAAGCTCAATATTTCTCAATTTCTCCTTCTGATAGATGGTCACATGACTACCTTCTGGCCAATGAAACAATATTATATCATAAATTTTTTATTAAAGAGTCTCAAAAATGGTGCTAACTCAGCTACTCCTTTCCCCCTTTTTCTTTCCTGCCTAAAAGACAGATATGATATCAAACTTAAAATGGTTACCTTCTGCCCATGAGATAACCTGGAGGTAAAAGCATAGCATGAAACAGCTATGCTTTATTTTCTGCTAAGAAAAGAGGGACATGAGATGAATAAAAGTTAACTAAACTAATTCCTACTGATGTAACTCAACTGATTACCCTATTCATTGTCTCCAGGGATCTATCTTGTGGAAGAGTATGCTGTGCATGTCCCAGGCTACAATTTCCCTCTTCAACCCTGTTTTCCTAGTTCAGAGATTTCTCAAGGTTTTTGGCCTACTGAGTAAAGGCCTTGACATTTTAAAATATCTTTTCTATTTTTATAGAGGTAAGGGAGTAGATTATAGTATATGTTCAGAATGTCATACTGAAACTCTTTTAAATTTTTTCAACCTTGAGATTTATACTAATGGCTTGTTCAATATATTTATAACACATACACATGTATTGCAGTGCATTCATTAACTTACTTAATGCAAGCATTTAATTTATATTATTAAAAAAATAAACACTTACCTGTGTATCATCTTTTTGTCTGAAGTCAATATTATCAAGTTTTAACTGCTTTGCAGAACTTTCTTCTTTTTTATCTAGATTATTAAATGGTACTACTTCAAATCAATTTTGGAGACAGAACCAAATATCATTCCCAACATTTAACCTAACCTCATAATTTAAAAAATCAAGACTACATGAATATTCAGGTTAAAATATAGAATTATGAAATATTTAAGAACACTTAATTCCTTACCATACATATAACAGTTATCACAATAACTATCAATGTGAAATGACAAAATGACCAATCAGCAAAGCTATACTATTATAATGGGCCACCAAAGAAGACAGAGTGATAATGTTAATGATAAGGAAAAAGGAAACACAACATAGTTATGCTAATCTGGAGACCCATTAAATGAGACAGGATTCAAATACCTCAGTGACCAATTACAATCAGTATTAACACAAGTCTGTTACCTGCTTATATCACATATACTGATAATACAACTCCTTAGATGAAAAATATATAATTATTTATTCTCCCCTGATGGCTATGTAGCCAGACCAGATATTTTGAAATATATTGTATGATTTCTTTCTTAAAGAGAAAAAAAGTTAGGTATAGAAGACATACCTTGGTTACTCTGAGAAAGATTCAAAAGTTACTTTCCTGAATCTATAAGGCTCCAGTACTGCTTGTTTTTGCTTATACCAAATGTTTCTATTTCTTCTTCTGTGCATTTGCAAAGGAAATGGAGTTTTCAAATAATAAACAGATACTGTACCTGTAACTCTTGATTCTGAAGAATGTATCTTTAATGATCTTACTAATTTTTGAGATTCATAAGGTAGAAATAATTGACTGCTTTGAGAGGTTTTATTCAGTGCAAGTAAATGTTCATCTGTATCAAAAATTCTAAAGACAAGAATGAATAATATGAAATATGAGCTACATAAAAAATTAACATATTTTAAAGCTAGAAGGGATATTTAGATATTATACAGTTAAAACTCCCCATTTTGCAGGTAATTAAACTGGGTGCCAAAGAATTTAACAGCCCTGCTCAATATTATTAAATTACTTTGCATTAGTGTCAGAACAAAAACATAGCTTTTTGAGAAGAGTCTAGCACTCTTCTCAATAAACTCTTATTTTTAAAACATAATCATCTTAACAGACTTTTTAAACATATCGAAAACATTTTAAGTCAAAAATTTAACCACAAACCTTCAGAGTACTTCAAACTTTCAAAAGACTTATTCAGAATCAAATCAACTAGCATGAATATAGAAATCAGTAAAGCAGTATTAAAATCATAAATGGGCCTTTTAAGTTTTTTACTGGAAGAACAGTTATCATTGAGTTTTACCTAAATCAAAGAAATAAATTAAACATTATCAAAATATATATTGTGTAAAAAATGACTAAAAGTTTATGTAAGTTCCTCTCAACATACAGAATGATATAATATTAAAGTCATCAGTAAAGTAAAATTCTATATATTTACATACTTTTCAATTAACTTCACTATAAAATTAAAGACACATTACCATAGATGTGATATGTGGAAGTGAGGGAATCAAGAAAATTACAGATCTAAGGAAGTGGGATCAGGGAAATTAACTTGGGAAAGGAGAAAGTTGAAAAACCAAGATAAGGGCCATGGAGCCTGAGGGAAGGAATTTAAGAAGAATGAGAAAGGGCATAGGTAGAAGGAAAAAGTGGAATTTGATCAGAAACAGCAATAGTAATAAATTATGTAAATATAGTAAAATTAATATTTTTCATATTTTCTGTCACATAGTAACAGGCAACAGCAATCTTTTTATGCTTCGACCACTGGTGTCTTTTTCATCACCATTAGAACAGAACAAACAAAGCTATGATGCCACAGATTTAAATTTTACTCTCTGTAGCAAAGTAAGTACTGGAAGTATTACTGTAAAAGTAAATACATTGCTATTTATGCCATTGTTTCTTCTGTTTTACTGCTGCTGATCCATCATGGAAAACTGAATGAATTACACAACAGACCGGTTACAAAAGAGTGGATGTGGTTTACAGCAAAACCTCTGTAAGTTGACCACCCAGGGAACTGTAATAAACTGGTCAACATAGAGGTGCTCAACATAAGGAACCAGGCCCACTGTACTGATACATACATGTGGTGCATGTCCAGTCTATGAAAAATTAGGTCAACTTAAGGAGGGGATCTATGTTGGGAGATGGTCAACTATGGAGGTTCTACTATAGTAAAATTAATATTTTTCATAAGAAATTAATAGAAAATAGGCTGCACAAAAAAATTAGATAGATACTGCATAAACATTAGTCACTTCGAATAGAATATAGAACCAAACTTTTAGATGCAGAATATCTGTTCACATAAAAGCCAGTTTTAAAATTTACCTATACCTTTCTTTCAATTCTTTTCTCTTTTCTATATTTTTGTTCTTTTCTTCCAGAGTTTCTGAAAGATTCTTATTTTCATAAAGTCTTGCAAGCTGCTAAAAAGAAAAATGGAAAAGCAAAACAACATAATTACCTGCAAAGTAGTAGGAAACATACATTTTATCTCAACTAATGCATATGATTTTTTCCATATTATCACAGGATTTATATTTTTGGTATTTATTATTTTTATTGAAGTTAATGAAATGGAGTCAAAATTAACAATAAATCAAGAATTATGGAAGAATCAGATTACCAGACTTCAAACTATACTATAAGGCTACAATAACCAAAACACCAGGTAGAACCACAAATATAGAGACACAGAACAATGGAACAAAATATAGAACCTAAATATAAAACCATCTATTTGGCAGCACCTGTGGCTCAAGGAGTAGGGTACCAGCCCCATATACTGGGGGTGGTGGGTTCAAACCCGGCCCCGGCCAAAAACTGCAAACAAAAACAAAAACAAAAACACCATCTACTTTACAGCCAATTGATCTTTAACAAGGCAGACCCCAACAATGTACACTAGGGAAAAGAAGCCCTGTTCAATAAATGATGGTGGGAATATTAGATAGCCACATGCCAAAGAATGAAACAAGACCCCTATCTCTAACCACTCACAAAAATTAATTCAAAATGGATAAAAGACTTAAATATGAGGCATGAAACCATAGAGTTATAGAAGAAAATAAAGGAAACACTCTTCTTTTTTTTTTTTTTTTTTGAGACGGAGCCTCAAGCTATCCCCTTGGGTAGAGTGCCATGGCATCACGCTCACAGCAACCTCCAACTCCTGGGCTCAAGCGAGTCTCCTGCCTCAGCCTCCCAAGTAGCTGGGACTACAGGCGCCCGCCACAACGCCTGGCCATTTTTTGGCTGCAGCCATCATTGTTGTTTGGCGGGCCCGGGCTGGGGATTCAAACCTGCCACCTTAGGTGCATGTGGCTGGCGCCTTAGCCGCTTGAGCCACAGGCGCCGAGCCAGGAAAAACTCTTCTATATATCAGCCTAGGTAAAGAATTTATGACTAAGACCCCAATAACAATTACAGCAACAATAAAAATAAGTAAATGAACTTGATTAAATTAAAAACTTTCTGCACAAAAAGGAAATAATCAACAGAGCAAATAGACAACCTATACAATGAGAGAAAATATTTGCAAAGTATACATCCAATAAAAGCCTAATGTCCAAAATCTATAAAGAACTAAAAAAACATCAGCAAGAAAAAAAAAAAAACCATTGAGCATCTAGTGAAAGACATGAATAAAGTTTTTCAAAAAAAAAGACCGACAAATGGCAAATAAACATATGAATAAATGTTCAACATCACTAATCATCAGGCAAATGAAAAACTACAATGAGATATTGCCTTACTCCTATTAGAATGGCTTTTATCAAAAAGTCTGAAAACTACAGATATTAGTGTGTAGTACAGAGAAAGGAGGGTTTATATACTGAGAGTGAGACTGCAAATTAGTACAACCTCTATAGAAAACAGTATGGAGATTTCCCAAACAACTGAAAGTAGACCTACCATTCAATTCAGCAATCCTACTACTGGATATCCAACCAAAGGAATAAGTCATTTTATCAAAAAGACACCTGCACTTGAATGTTTGTTGCAACAAAATTCACAATTGCAAAGATGAGCGATCAATCCAGGCATCCATCAAATAATGAGCAGGTTAACAAAATGTGGCAGATGTATACCATGGAATATTAAAGAGTCATAAAAGATGAATCAATGCCTTTTGCAGCAATTTGGAAAGAATTGGAGACAACTATCCTAACTGAAATATCTCAAGAATGGAAAAACAAACATCATACATACTCTAAATTGGAAGTAACCAATGAGCACCCATGTACATATAGGGAAGTAAAAGTCATTAGAAATCAAGAAGTAGGGTGAGGGGCAACACACTATTCAGGTGATGGGCACACTTATGGCCCTGACATAAGCATATTAAAAGCACTCCATGTAATAAAAACTTATGTCCCCCTTTAATATTTTGAAATTTAAAAATAACTAAATCACACCCATTTAACTTTTCTTTAGAACTCCATTAGTAAAGGTAGATTTCAATGAACTCCTGTCTTTTTAAACAAGGATAGTCATTAACAAAGTAGACATTGATTATTTCCACAGGGACACAGTTACCAAATATGTTTAAAGAAATAGCACCTATTTTCTTCTTGTTACTAAAATTATATGAATATTATTAGGCAAAGCACACCTATGAATGATAAATATTAATATATAACATTTAATAGAATTTTGGATTTTTTTCTCAAAATTTGAGTGAATCTAATTGGCTCTCGTACCCATGTGAATGAAAGCCACAATTCAATAAATGACACTAAAAATGTATTCAAGAAAATCTTAAAAGGCTTAACTAGGTTTAGTTCAGCTCTCTAAAGATTATAAACTATAGTCATAAAGTTTTCAAGATTAAATTCTTTAAGATGTTTACTAGCTTACTCCCTTTTAAAAAAAATACTGGTATAGCTCTTTTAATGTCTTTAAATTCCTGTTATTAAGCTACATTTTGTTCTTTATTCATCTTCATTCCTCATACTCAAAAGAGATCTAAACTAGTTCCCCAAACTCAGAGTTGAATATATTCACCTAAAATACATTTTGGGTCCAGAAGTACTCAAAGGCAAATAAATTGCCTTAAGCTTTCCCCCACATTTATGCTAGCTTAAAAATAGCTCTTCCTGACTATCAACTAGCATACCATTATACTTATATACATTATAAGATATAAATTATAAATATATAACAGAATATATACCTGGTTTAAATAATTTATTTCTATTTCCTTTTCATCTACTTCTTTCTTCAATTCAGATGAACTTTTGGTAAAATTGTTAGCATGTTTAAGAACATCTTGTGTTTTACATCTCAGATTTACCCTTTTTATGTCAAGGAACTATGTCATGCAAATAAAATGTATATTATAATGTATGTACATCAGAAATAATATTCTATAACATTATATATATGTATGTTCCACAGAAACAATAAGCAATCTTAAAAACATTATCTGGAAAAAAAACAGTTGCTGAAAACAGAAGAATAATATAAATGTTTGGCAGGCTAACAAAGATTTTATTTGTCTATGCTATACGTTAAGCATAAAAATAACACTGCATCCAAAATATGTTAGGACTTTTTCCTTTCAGTTAAATATTTTCACAGGGAATTTTGTTGGGTTTTTATTTGTTTGTTTTACCCAAGTTCATTATGTCAGTTGACATGACTAATAAAACATAATCAATTCAGGTCCAAATTTAATTTCTTATACTTCCATTTTTTATTTGTTCCAAATTCAACATTAAAAATCAAACCAATTTCCATTTTCTTGCTCTGTAAGACTCATCAGTGCACCCTACAGAACCTAGAAGAGGAAGATTTTCCCTCTGGACTTTTCTGCCTCAAGTGCATTTATGCCCAATTTCAAATAAAGATTTTTCAGCTCTTTAATAAACATCCTTCCTGGTTACTAGCTAATACAATTTCCTAAATTACTCTACAATCCATTTAGGGACTGTAAAAATAAATAGTGACACTGAACAAGGACTACAGAGAAAATGTATTGGACCTTCCCTATCCTTCCTTAAAAATGTATGATTTATATGCTAGAACACAAAATTTCAGGTATTTTAAGGCTATGAGGTTTTCAAAGTTTCAGCTTAAAATGCTGAAATCCTAGATGAGGGATTTAAATCTTAAGCTTCAATTTTTCCTAACTCCATTGACCTCTTCTTGTCTGTCATTCAACCTTACATCTCATCCCATCCTACCCCAACCCATCCAACTCCCTAAACCCTGGCAGCACCATCAACAGCTAGGAACCTCTGCCCCTTCCCACTGAGGAGTTAAAGCACAGGCAGGCAGCAAATGAACATCAAAAACAGAACAGGCTAAAGCCAAAACATGAAGACAAGCCACAGAGAAATTAAGAAGATGGTTTAGGATGAAGCAGACAGGAAGCAAGGTAGAATGCAGGGATAAAGAAGCCTTAGTGCAACCAACGGAGTTATAATCTGATAGGAAAGCATATGAAGGATTATACGGGTTGAAAGAGGATTAAAGTTTCAAGTTCATCATCAGGAAGAGCTCTCTAACAAATAGGTGAGACTGAGACCAATTAATACTTGTGTCTATTACAGTAGCAGTGTATTAAAATTATTTGTTTACATGTGTGTCTTCTCTACTAATCTGTGAGCTCCTTGCAAGAAAGCTCTATATCTTCTTCAGTACTGCCTGGAACAAGGTAGGTTCCCAATGAATTTCCATAGACCAATGAAAAATTGTGACTCACCTCCTTACTTCCTTCCATTCTAACAAGTAAAAATCAACCAATTTATTGGAACTTTCTTTGGAAAGACAAAGCAAGATCATGTTTCATTGGATTGGTTCTAAGATATGCCACTTTAAAGCCAGATACACATACCATTTTATTCTCACTAAAATACTTGCTTCTGATCACATGCGCAATATGAAAACTAGTCCCAGATGACATTTAAAGTGACCTGTAACATCACTGAATTAACACAAAAACAAATCCATGATTCTCATGAACAAAACACAAAAACTATTAAAAAAATTTTTAAATACTTATCTAATAAAATTATATATAGAAATACTATTGTGGATACATGTGTAATGTCCATTTAGTAACTGATGGAAAGGGAGCAGGCACTGAAAAACAAAATCATAATTTAGACTGATTTATTATACTCTTTTTACTACAAAGATACCATAATTAAAACAATATATAAGAAAAAGTTAATACCTAGAAATTTCATAAAAATGGTTTCATTCATTTTTAGTTGTTCAGTACATGCCAAAACTCTCTTTTGAATTTCTTCATGTTCTTTTTTCTTCTCATAATATTCATGTGAAAAGGGTGTTTCCAAGTATTTTAGTTGGTATTGCTTCAAAACATCTTTATACTGGCATACATAATCATGATACCTTTTTCTGTTAAAAATTTTTTTAAAAGATGTCTATATAACAGGAGTAAATCTTAAAGCTTTATAAATATTAAATTCTACTAAATTAAGCATGAAAAGCAAATCAAGTATGTACTTATCCCTGCTTCACTCAATATTGTCTGCCCTTCAGACTTCCCTTAACTCCACCATACTTCTCAACTCCACCCTTTTTCACTACCTGAGTTATTGCTCCGTAATCAATCCTCTTAAATTTAACTCCTACTCCCACCAGTTTTAATGACACTATTTTTAACAAGGTCACTAAGGACTGAATTTATCCAAATGAATGATTTTCTGTTTAATGCTCATCCTAACTGACACCGTAGAACCTGGTTCTTTTGATCACTTGCTCCTTAAACTTCTATCCTCCCTATGTCTAGATTCTGTACTTCCCTAGTTCAGCAACCTCTTTAGGCCTTTTTCATGTCTTTCTATTTTCTTTAGCTAAAATTATCACATGAAGTCATGTTCTATGTGTATTCGACCTCTGTGTCCATAATCATTAGTGTATATCCCACAACTATTTCATGAAGAAAATTGTAGCACAGTTTGGAGGAACTCCTTCAGTCCAAATCCAGTAGGATTCAAGTCCCCTCAACTCCACTAGGCACAAGTCTTGAGTCAAATAGTGATATTAACCCTTCTTATTTGACCTCTCCTTGATCTACAAGAGTCAATGACTACAGTCTATTGGCTGTATCTAATCTGCCACCTCTTTTTGTACAGCCCATAACCTAAAGATGGTTTTACATTTTTAAATGATTGAAAAAAATCAAAAGAATATTCTATGACACACTAATATTGTACAAAATTCCAACTTCAGCATCCATAAATAAAGATTTATTGTATCATAGCTATTTTTGAAGTTCTCTTGTGCCAAAGGTGAGAGTTGAGTTGTTAAAACAGACCATATGGTCCACAAGTTTATTTACCATCTGGTCCATTATTTAAAAAGTTTGCAAATCTGTATTTATAACATTGAAATGTGCAATCCAGTTCTTATAGAAAAAATGTATATTTTTAGAAAATATTCTTAAATCCTTAAATCCTTTTTGTCCAATTCTTATCAACAGTTAATTTTAAGAAATAATATTCACAATAAATTTTTTGAAAATATATGGTCCTTACATTCCTCAAGATTTTCTTCTTTCTTGGATCAAACCACACTATTTGAGGAAATTTCTTAAAAGATACTATAATGATTACCTCACTTTAACAGATGAGAAAATAAGGAAGAGCAAGTATTCATAAACTACTCATATGAGAAGAAAAGGGTAACAGCCTTATACTGGTCAGAGCAGGTGTGAATCTTAAGAAAATATTATTAATAATTTTCTAATATGACTAAACTCTATCCTCTTTAGCAAGATAAAGCAGTTGAGCCCTAAACAAGCTTCTATTCCTTTAAATACATATTTACCAATTAAGACTCCACTTATTATGAAAAACTTGGTAAAATGGCCCAAAAAGGAAATTCCTATAAGAAAATTAAGCCTGGGTCACCAGTTCCAGATGAGATCAGCATACCACAGCCATCATGTTCCTACTATATATTCATGCCCCACCTTTAACATATTCCATGCACAAACTTTTAGCTTAACTTTTAGCTAAGGTAGTGTACAAAAAGAGCTATTATCTTACCTGTTGCCAGCTATACTATTCTTCATGAATGCCTAGGACACGGATGGGAAGTTAAGAGAAACAAGGAGCTGGTATCTCTACTTCCTCCACTACCCCATGATACCAATAAATGAATTCTTTCCTTTTATAAATAGCTAGTATTGAGTCATCAATTCAATTAACCTATGTTGCTAGTTTAAGATAGAAAGAGATAGCTTTCACTTTCATAGCTCTGGTTAGCTCAGAGAAGTCATCTGTAACAAACACCATCAGAAAGGTACATATTTGGACTGTTTTCCTTCAACTTCTCAATAATTTTTAAGAATGTTTTATAGCCGGGACTCATAGAGAAACATGTTATAAGAAGCAGTTATACACAATATGTTTTGGAGTAGGGAGTGGTGACTAAAGGTACTGACCACCACATTGCACAAGGACACAAGGGGGAAATTTCTCTAAGCCTCAGGAATGTCTACTTATCCCAAGCAATTGAACTTTTTTAAATAAATACTCTGAATCTCAAACTGATCATACACAGGCTATCCCAGTCATATAATATAAAAAATAGATACTCTCTGGACAGTCCTGTACAACTTGATTACTTGAAATTTCAAAACTTAATTTGTGTCTCTATCTAACAAAGGTATAGGACCACACAATATGAATTTTTAACCTGATCAAAGGCTTTATCTTCCTATATAATCCTTAATTCACTGTAGTCTTGATGTTCAGTCTAGTTTTTTTTAACACTATGATATTATTTATACAAATCATTTTAAATCCTTTTTGAAATGAAGCACGGTCTATAAATAACAATGTTAACAGTCTCCAAGGGTTCCAACTTTTGTCTACTCTTTGGATGATGGTATACTGTAGCTTTTTGCTCCTTACATTTCTCAGAGCATTCTCATCTATTTCCATCATTTCCCATGCCTTGAAGTCCAAACCTATAATTTTAGTTTCTACCTTTACTGAAGACTCATCTTTGAATATAATGGGTATTGCATTCTAAAATTTACATGTGTATGTTTCTAAAATATAAAAATAAACGCTGTCTCATACAATTATGTTAAAATTAAAACATTTCAAATTAAGTGAAATTTTAATTCTACATATGTATTCAAAGTCTCTTGCCTTGTTTCATTATATTCAGTAGTCACTGATTCTTTAATCTCCAAGACAATGTACTTATATACATAATAAAATAAATCCACACAATTATCAGTGTTTCCCCTCACTAAATCAATATACTAAAAAACAGAAGTTTGATATAAAATACCCTTCAAAACCAACACCCCTAAATTTTTTGTAAGCCAGTGGTACAGGTAACTATTACCCCAAATGTTTGCCTATAGTAGTTCAGTCATAAAAATCCTTAATTGAAGGATACTGCTATAATAACTACTATTGAGAAATAATTTATATCTAAGGCCATATCTAAACATATCCTGGATTAGATACAGCTTTACAACAAATAGGGAGACCAATAATTATACCCAGGAAGTCCAGAATACTACATTTCAGTTAACATTCTTACAAAGCAAACTTTGGTAATATTACTTATAGAATTGAAAAGCTTAAATTAATATATGCACTGTACTTGTCTTTTTCAATAGTTTCTTGATATAGAGTAAATTGGTCCTGCATATAATCTTCATGTTTACGGAAAACATCACATGTTGGCTTCCAGCTATAGAAAAAAACACATTTGTAATTAGCACTTCAGAATGATAAACAAATTGACAGAGACAATAAAAAATAATGATCATTTAAAGATAATTGAATCTTTCCCTTCCTAGAGAAAATGAATTTACATCAGGAAAAATATTCCCATCTCCCATCACCACACTACCTCCATTCATGCACTCCCATGCTCTGATATGAATATTTATGAATTCTGACATCAAACCTGTTTTAAACCATGACTGAGAAAGAGTAAACATGGCATAGCTGAATTATGTTACTGCTATGACATTTCTATTATAACTCTCCAACATTAGCCTTCTTTCCCATTATATTTTTATTAATTTATTTTTTAGGGGGAAGACAGAGTTTTACTTTGTCGTGATTGGTAGAGCGCCATGATGTCATAGCACACAGCAACCTCAAACTGCTGGGCTCAAGCGATTCTCTTCTCTCAGCCTCCCAAGTAGTTGGGACTACAGGAGCCCACCACAATGCCCAGCTATTTTTTTTAGAGACAGGGTCTCACTTTGGCCAGGCTGGTCTCGAACTTGTGAGCTCAGGCAATCCACCCGCCTCAGCCTCCCAGAGTGCTAGGATAAAAGGTGTGAGCCACCATGCCTGGCTTTTCTCATCATATTTGTAAGATCTTGGCAAAAAAATTCTTTTGCAGTAAGCATTCAAAGAGCTAGAATAAGGGCTACAGAGAGGCTTTTTTCTCCTTTAATACTTACAAAAAGTTGTTACATACTCCTGAGCTAGAAATGAAAGAAACTAGGCCAAAATGAATTATAAAATCAGACAGTAAGAATAAAATTAATATTCATCTTCTACATTTTTTATTACATAACTAGAAAAAGTATTATATAGAAAATGTAACATAAGTATATACCATAAGAGCTTCCTTCTAAGTATTATTTGGATATTTTTCCTTTTTTCTAATCTTCTGTTATTTTTTCAGATTCAAAAAGTATACATGCCCAGTTTGGAAGCATAGAAAAGTATACGTAAGAAAATAACTATCATCCATATTCTCAACATCGAATAATAACTACTATTATTGTTTTAATAAATTATTTTCAGATATTGCTATTTTAATATCACTAAGATCATCTCCACATATAACAATGTATCCTTTATTACTTACTTAACAGAACTTAATAGAAATGAATTTCTGATCATTTCCTTAGAAAATATTCTCCAAAACTGAATTATGGTTATATGTACATAACCATAACAATTAAGGTTATATGTACATATATTCTCAGTACTTAAAAATTCCATTAAAAATATATGCCTACTGAGAAGAGAATCTCATTAAGAGTATTTTGATGTACAGTCTTCTAGACTTTTTCTAATTATACAAATATACAATTACTAAGTCAGGTTCATACTATGAAATTTGTTTCATAATTTTCTTTGTTCAACTTGTAATATACTGTTAACATCTTTCAATGTAAGTATACTTTTATATCATAACATGCCAAAATTCATTTAACAATTTCTATAATGTAAAACATAAGGGTTGCTTCCAATGTTTTCCTATTATAAAAGAAGGCTGAAATAGAACTCAATAGCAAAAAACTCCACAAATAACCCAATTTAAAACTGGGCAAAGGTTCTAAAAAGATACTTCTAAAGAGATACAAATGGCCAACAGAAACATGAAAAAAATTCATCTCTAGTCATTGGAGAAATTCAAATTCAAACCAAAATAAGATATCACCTCATACCTGTGAGAATGGCTATTATCAAAAAGATGAATAACAGCAAGTATGGCTGAGGATGTGGAGGAAAGGGAATTCTTGCACACTATTGGTAGGAATATAAATTAAACATCCATTTTTGGAAAGCAATATGAAATTTCTTCAAAAGCCTAAAATCAGGATCAAGGCATCCCACTTCTAGTATATATCCAAAGAAATTAAAATCAGTATATCAAAGAGATAACCTGGGCTAGGTGTCATGGTTCATGTCTGTAATCCTAGCACTCTGGGAGGCTGAAGTGGGAGAATCACTTGAGCACAGGTGTTTGAAGGTTACTGTGAGCTAGGCTGATGCCAAGGCACTCTAGCCTGGGGCAACGGAGTAAGACTTTCTCCAAAAGAGAAAGAGATATACCCACTCTCACATTCACCGCAGCATTATTCACAATAGCCAAGCTATGGAAGCAACCTTAGTGTCCAACAGATGAACAGATCCAGAAAATGTGGTATGTGTATGTATACACACAATGAAATACTATACAGCCTTTAAAAGAAGACAATTTCATCATTTGAGACAACACAGATGCAACTGGAGGACATTATGCTAGGTAAAATAAGCCAGGTGCAGAAAAACAAATACCATATGATCTCACTTAAATATGTAATCAAAAAGCATTGGTCTCCTAAAAACAGAGAATAGAAAAGTGGTCTCTACAATAGATGCCAGGAATGGGATGAGAGGAGGGACAAGAAAAGGGAAGATGTTTAATCAAAGAGTACAAAATTTCAGACAGAATGAAAGTTTTAGTAATCTATTGCACTGCATGCTGACCACAGTTAATAATAACGTATCATACAAATACATTTCCAAATTGCTAAAAGAGCAACTTTTAATGTTCTCACCACAACAAAAAAATGGAAAGTTGGTGAAATGATATATTAGCTTGACTAAGTCTATCTATAACAGGCGTCCTCAAACTACCGCCCAGAGGCCATGTGCAGCCCACCAAGGACATTTATCCAGCCCGCCAGGTGTTTTTACCACCGCTGCCTGTCCTGCTTAGCAGCCGACTCGTCCTGGGGCCCGCAGTCTGGCCCTCCAACGGTCTGAGGGACAGTGAACTGGCCCCTGTTTAAGAACAGGGATGAGGACCCCTGATCTACAATGTATACATACATCAAAACATATTGTAAGCCATAAATATAAAAAATTACTATTTGCCAATTAAAAATAAAATTTTTAAATGTTCTGTGATAGGGAAAAAATGTTGAAATCGTATTACATCTTTGAGAGAATCTCTAATTATTTCAATATGGTAAATTCTCAGAAATAAAACTATGTGATCAAAAGTCATGCTTAAATTCTAAAGCTTTTCAAAACATATGCTGACATGTCATCCAAGAAACTTGTAACAGTATACACTTTTGCAGTGTATGAGAGAGTTGATTTTCTTATTTCCTGGCCAAAAGGCCAAAAGGAGATATTACGTTTCTTTAATTCTGCAAAACTTAAAGGCAAAAAAAAAAAAAAAAAAGTCATTTAATTACTGCTTTAGGGCTGGGTGCAGTGTTCATGCCTGTAATTCTAGCACTCTTGGAGGTGAGGCAGGTGAATTGCCTGAGCAAGGGTGAGACTTCCATCTCTACTGAAAATAGAAAACCCAGCCAGGCACTGTAATGGGCACCTGTAGTCCCAGCTGCTTTGGAGGCTGAAACAAGAGGATCGATTGAGACCAGGAGTTTGAGGTTTCTGTGAGGTATGACACCACAGTACTCTCTCTATCCAGGGTGACAGAGTGAGATTCTGTCTCAAAAAATATTGCTTTAATTTAGATATTATTGACTATTAGTATGATTGAGCACTTGTTTACTTGTTTTTCAGACTTATTTATTTCTTCATTTGGGTATATACCTAATGTTTACCTTCTTTGCTCATTTTTCTAATGGGGCTTTTTCTTTTTATTAATTTCCACAAATACTCCATTTTTTAGTTTAACTTCTTTACAGCTGCAGAATTCACAACTTCAAAGATGTGGAAACAACCCAAGAACCACCCAATACATGAATGGATTAATAAAATGTGGTATGTGTATACCATGGAATACTAAGCCATAAAAAGGTGATCTAGTATCTTTTATAACAACTTGGATGGAATCAGAGACCAATCTTCTAAGTGAAGTAACCTAAGAATGAAAACAAATACCGTATGTATTCAATACTAAATTGGAACTAACTGATCAACACTTATGTGCATATATTGAAGTAAAACTCAATGAAAATCAAACAGCAGGATGAATAAATTCAAACCTAACAGGAACAATACACATTATCTGGATGAAGGGCACACTTAAAACTTTGACTCAATCTGTGCAAATGCAAATTAAGTAACTAGAATCTATGTGTACCTCCATAATATTCTGAAGTTTTAAAAAATAAATAAAATTAACCTTTATTTGACTTTTTCCTAGCTTATTCTTTTGTCTTTATATCATCATGGACTGTTTTTCTTTTTAATTTTTACATAGTCATATTTATCCATTAATTACTAAATCATATTTCTCCATCAATTACTAAGTTTGGTGACACACTTAGAAAGGCCTTCCTCTCTCAAAGATTATATGATCAGCCATATTTTTCTAGTGCTTTAATGTATTCATATTTCCATCTAAATCTCTTAACCAGCATGCTGAAATCATGAACCAGAGGCATTCGTGAATTTAATCATAACCAAAGAAATAAAACCTACTAACTCTCACTGAGCTCCAGCAGAGATTCAACTTATACAAAGTATGGTTAAGCAGGACATGGTAGGTTCCGAGGGGAAACTAACAGTACTTTTTCAGCACCCAATGCAACTAATTGAGGAAAACCACTGGTAAAACCTACTAAAACATAAACCAAAATAAAAGAAAAAGTTCAATGACATATAATTTTTGTTATTCAGATTGTCCAAATATTTAAACTCTGATGATTCTAGCACTGGAAAGGGACAATAGACAATAGAAACTCTCCTACATTTTAAATATTTTATTTTCTATTTATAAGAGTAATATTCCTTATAATAATTCAATCAATATATTATTATATAAAGAAAAAATGTTCTTATACATTGTTGATGGGAGTATAAATTAGTATAATCTTTTCAGAAAGCAGTTTGGTTTACCTATCAAATGTTTAAATGTACATACTCTTTAATCTAGCAATTTTATTTATAAGAGTCCACTCTATAGCAATACATCTATGTATGTGGAAGAATATCTATATAGGTTGTTTGTAATACAGAAAAATGGAAACAATCTAAACATCCATTAATAGGGGAATGGTTAAACAACTTAGGATGTATCAATACTATAAAATACTTTGGAGTTGTTTAAAAAAATGAAATCTACACACAATTACATGCATAGTATTATTTATGTCACATACTGTTAAATTTAAAAAACAAGTTGCAGAATGCTGTGAATTCATTTTTGTAAAAAAGTAAGATAGCTATATTGGTGTGTGTAATAATGATGTTAACTATTCAAGGTCTAAAAAGATACAACTGTTAAGAGTGATTATCTATTGAGAGGACAGGGCAGAGAATGGGAACTGCAGGCAGGGAGAAACTTTATATCATACATGAGTATACTATGTATAGTACACTATGAATTTTTATATTAAGTATATATTACTTATATAATTTCTTAAAACCAGTGGGGAAAATAATAGAAAATCTTTTCTACTTTTGGAATGGAAAAACTAAAAAGGCTTATTAAATTTTTTGGATAGCAAAATATTTCAAAATACAAAGTATAGTACCTAATACAAGGTCAATGGGCCACATAAAAATAAGTACAGAAAACTAGTAAATGTTTAACAAGTATATGTGACATACAATAAAGTTCTATTCACATCTTTGTTTCAAAATGTTTATCTTGTACCAGATCTAGTATCTTGTACTAGAATCCAGAACTGGAAGCTACACTGAAAGAATTCTTAACTTACTGAATACTTTCATTCTGAAAAATTTTAGGCTATACTTCCTCCTACACAAAATAAGATCTTAAGAATTCAAAGATGAAATCTATTTCAAATTTATCTAACAGGAATTTTATGCAATGAGCTTAGATTATTCATAATTCTGTATTTAGACTAACTGTAATTGAATTAGTGAAACATCAAATTAGTGAGATATTATATTCCGTATTTTTCTTTTGAAACCCCTGTGAACCCTTTGTGAGGTGGCATATAGATGCAACAACAGCATCTTCAACTGTGATCTCAGAAACTTTAAATAATCTAATGGCAATTATTGAAAGTTCATTTCTTTCAAATACTCACTTACTACAGTTGTCTTTGATCTCATTACTATGTTTATAATAATGATCAATCTCCTCATCTGTTTTATTTATAGTTTCATGTATCTTACAAATAGTCACTTTGGTTTCTTTAATGTCTTCAAAGCATTCTAGAAGAAAGAAATGTTTATTTTGTTAAGGTGAAAATCATAAATTTAAAATAAACAAATACACAAGGGGGGAAAAAAAGGAGTATGACAACTTACCTAAAAAGAGAAGAGCCAGAGAAGAAAGAAAAAGCAAAACTTCAGATGGGTACAACCCTGTACTAAAAAGCAGAGAACCAGAGCCAGGCCTGATTTGAGATCCAGAAGTTAAGAAGGATTTGCGTTTGGGACTGAAGAGAAATGCATGTCCCCTGTATTTCAGCTTTAACATAAGAGGGCTAGATTAAGTGACATCTAGTCATTCACATCTTACCATGCCAGGAATCATGTAGATATTTACTCAGTTATGACACTGACATAAAACTTTTGTTTTTGACAAATGCAAGATTTCTATTCATAAGTTTCCTTCCCAAGTTATTATTAATTGCAAAATTTATTAACTTTGACTCACTTATTTGTTACCAGTGATTAAATACAAGATAAAAATAAAACTATAAAATGTCTTCAAAGATTAAAATAAATTCTTAATGCCCTGCATTGTTTTTTTAATGTGGGATAGAGAACCAAATTCCACCTTTAAAGAACTATTGAGAAATTAACAGCTCTATTTTTCATAGTTTTTGCATAGGATCTTAAAATATCATACAATATTTTTGTAATTTGCCTTGCCATTTCTCATATTATCTTTGCTTTTGTTTTGAGACTGAGTTTCTCTTTGTCACCTAGGCAGAGGGCAGTGGCATCGGAGCTCACAGCAACCTCATACGCTTAGGCTCAAGTAATTCTCTTACCTCAGTCTCCCAAATAGCTGGGACCACAGGCACCTGTCACAATGCCCGGCTATTTTTTAGAGACAGGGTCTCGGTCTGGCTCAGGCTGGTCTCGAACTTGTGAGCTAAGGCGAGCCACCCGAGTACTAGGGATTACAGACGTGAGCCACCGTGTCCAGCTCCCAAGATAAAAAATTTTTCACTTAACTATTTGAAACCACCTGTGCATCTTTTCGATTGCACTTAAGTAGTCATTAACTCAAAATTTTTCACAAAATAATCAAACGCTGAATATAGAAATTTATCAAAAAAACGTAGTTTTATCTGCCTGTAGTAGACAGCAACCAGCAGTCACCAGAGAGAACGGCCGAGAGTCACAACGCCAGCCCCACGGTGCCCTAAACTGGACAATTGTATATTATCTCGTAGTCCAAAAAGAAAAAATTAAGACTGAAATATCCTTATCAAGCAAAACTACTTACTATTCGCTCTTTGAATAATATCTTCTTTAGCCCTTATGTCTTGCTCATACTGGAAAACTAAAATAAATAATTCTTTTGTGATTTCAGTTCATGTTTAAAATGTCCAATGACAATACAAATAGTTAACTTATTTTCATTTTATACCTACCAAACTCTAGTAAAAGTCTGTCCAAACTAGCAAATAAACTGTGACTCATTTTGGATACTGTATCAAAAGAAAAAAAATGTAAGTAAAGATTTTCTGAAGTCACCTGCGCAGATGCCATAAGCCCTTTTTAGATAGAGCCTTTTCCACAAAACACTACAGGCAGAGCAAGCACCGGGCGGACGGGGCCCCGACGCCACCGGGGACCCTGAGCTGGGGGAGGTGGCCGCGTGTCCGCGGAGGTGCCGGAGAATAATCCCCTGGGGTCTGCAGACACCCCGGAGCTCGCAAAAGCAGCGCCCTTGAAGCTGCATCTCTTCCCCTTCCCCGGGCGTGCACCGCTCCAGGTACCAGAGACCCGCACACGTCCTCCCCTCCAGCAAGCCAAACCCCGGGAAGCGGCGCGGTTTTTAATTTACGAATTCGCCCTCCAGCCTGCAGAAGGCGGAGGGTTCCCCAGGACCCCCAACCCGCCTTACAAACTACGCCTGAGGCGGGCCGCGTCTCCGCCCGCGCGCCCGGCAGCCAGAGCTCGGCGCCGACCAGCGCGCTGCCCGCTCCCGGCCCCCCGTGCCCCGCGCCCCGCGCCGGGGGCCGCCCGCACGCGGCTCGCCTCAGCCCGCGTCGCTCCGTCCGGAGGCCGCGCCCGCAGCCCCGCGTGGGAGCCCAACCCGCCAGACAGGCGACGCGCGGGACGCCCCAGAACGCGCCGCGAAGTTCTGAGGGGAGAGCCCGCCCCACCCACCCGCCGGGAATAACCGCCGCCTTCAGCTCCCTCCCAGCCAGCCGAGCGGCCCTCTGCGCTCGAACTTCCACACCCTCCCTCCCCCGGGGTCCCGCAGGCCACTCAGCGCCCCGGGCGCCGGGGACGCGGCGGCAGACCTGACACCAACCGGCCGGAGTCCGGGCCCCGCTGTGCTGGCCCCGCCCCCACGCCCCTGGCGCAGGTCCCGAGAGACCCCACGCGGCGGGTGGGGCGCGAGGGCGAGACCGCGGCGGGAGCGGCCGCCCGCGGCCGTCGCGCCTGCCCTGACCCGGCCCCCTGGGACCGGGAAGGGGACCGCAGAGCGGAGGTGACTCCCTCGGGAAGGGGGACCGGCCAGGGACTCTTCTACTGCCCCCAACACAAGTGGGTTTTTTAAAGTCTATTCACTCCTCTTATAACACAAGGTTTTAAAAGTATTTTGGAGAACAGCAAGAAAATTGGTATAATGACGTGAAAATAGTAAAAACATTCAAATAAACCAAAATGGAATTTTGAACAGCATTTTTCAAAACCTCGTGAGAAGAAGGCACAATTCAAATATATTTGATTAAACGAACGTTTTGAGACTCTTTAGTTTCAAATAAAGCTGATTTTCTGTCCTAAATACTGTCTTTAGACAATGTATATTCTTAAACTTGGAATATTCAAGGTGAAACAAAGAGTGGAGACAAAATAATTTAAACCGTTCAGTCCCCTAGTTGCCTCAGTACTTTGTATATTTCTGGTGGAAATGTTTTTAATCCTAAATGCTGTAAATAATTGCCTTGAGTCACCACAAGCTAACATGTTTCACAGATTATTAAAATGAAAAATTTTAGAAGTTTTTCTTGCTTAAGTACCTCAGGTCAGCTATGCATAGCCAATTTTATTATAATGTGCTCACTAAATGGAATTAACAGTCGTCCTCAAAGCTGATGTAAGAATTTAGCAGATTTAGTCTTCCGTGTGGATGTGAAAAATCTTTTACTTATTTTTTCCAGTTTTATTGAAATAAAACTGACAAATATAATTGTATATATTTACAGAATACATAATATTTTGATGTATGTATATATTGTAAAATGCTTACCACAATCAAGTTAATTTGTGTAGCTTATCCATCACTTCACACACTGAGTCATTTTCATGTGTATATTAACATTCAAAATCCACTCTCAGGAAATTTCAGGTACCCAACACAGTTTTATTAACTATAGCCACCATACTGTACAATGTATCTCCAGAACTTTTTTATCCTAAGTGAAACTTCGTACACTTGGACCAACTTCTCTCCCTCCCCCTCAGGGCCGGCAACCACCATTCTCCTCTGTTTCTGAGTTTAAGTTTAGATTCCATATATAAATAAGAATGTGAAGTATTTGTCCCCTACCTGATTTATTTCACTTAGCATAATGTCCTTCAGGTTCATCCGTGTTGTTGTATATGACAGGATTTCTGTCGTTTTCAAGGCTGGATAGTATAGCATTGTGTGTACATATATCCCATATTATCTTTATCCCTTCACCCTTGAATTATCGTGTAGATTGATTCCGTATCTTGATAATGTTGCAATGAATGTGGGAGTGCAGATATCTCTTCAATATACTGACTTCATATTCTTTGGATATGCATTCAGAAATGGAATTGCTGGATCATCTGATAGTTTTATTTTTAACTTTTTCTTTCTTTCTTTTTTTTTTTTTTTTTCTTTTTGAGACATATTGTCTCACTCAAACTACCCAGTCTTCCTGGGTAGAGTGCAATGGTATCACAGCTAACAGCAACCTCAAACTCTTGGGCTTAAGCTATTCTCTTGCCTCAGCCTCCAAGAAGCTGGGACTACAGGTGCCGGCCACAGCCTGGCCATTTTGCTGTTGTTGTTGTCATTGTTGTTTTTTAGGAGGCCCTGGGCCAGGTTCGAACCCACCAGCCCCAGAGTATGTAGCCAGAGCCCTAGCACTGACCCTATTTTTAATTTTTTGAGAAAACTTTACACTATTTTCCATAATGGCTGCATTTATGTACTGATTTACATTCCCACAGGGTATAACTTTCCCTTTTCAAACACTTATCTTTCTGAGCATAGCCATTCAGACAGGTGTAAATTATCTCATTGTTGTTTGATTTGCATTTCCCTGAGGACTAGTGATGTTCAGCATTTCTCTATATGCCTGTTGGTCATTTAAGAAATGTCTATTCAGAACCTTTGCCCATTTTTAAAATTAGATTATTTGTTTTCTTGCTACTGAGTTGTTTGAGTTCCTTGTATATTTTATCCATTAACACAGATTTATTATTATATTTGTTTAAAATATATTTATCAACTACTTTTAAGAAAAGCATAAGAGAATAAATATGAGTAGTAAAGTCATTTAATCTTGAGGGCACTACATTGCTATGACTGTCAAGAAAATCTGATAAAAGACTTAATCCTCTTGAACTTAATGCTACATTTTCTTTCTTTCTTTCTTACTTTCTTTTTTTAAGACAGAGTCTCACTATGTCACCTTCGGTAGGTGCTATGACATCACAGCTCACAGCAACTTTCAACTCTTAGGCTTAAGCGATTCTCTTGCCTCAGCCTCCCAAGTAGTTGGGACTAAAGGTGCCCACCATAATGCCTGGCTGTTTTTGTGGTTGTTTTCGTAGATATCATTGTTGTCTGGCAGGCCCAGGCCGGGTTGAACCCCGCCAGCCCTGGTATATGTGGCTGGTGCCCCACTCACTGAGCTACAGGTGCTGAGCCTTAATGCTAGATTTTTCTTATGAAGATTTATCAAAATCCAGAAACACCACCTTGCTGAGACCCAATTTGCTAAATTTATCAAACTTTCTAGCTTGTGTCTCTTGCATACAATTCCTCTTCACTCCTTCTTTCACTGACCTTTTCAGTTCTACTATCCCCATCACACGTAACTACTTTTACAGATAATAAAATATTTTTATTACAAGTCTTTCTCTATCTTAGTCTCCTCCCCCCCATCTTCTCTCTTTTCTGTATCTGGCTCTGTTAAAACTCTGCAGAAGAGTAGGAAGGAAGGATCTTCCTTTGAAACCAAAGGTCTTATCAGTCAACATCATATTTCTTTCACCCCCATATTCCTCTCACAGCCGACATGTTCCTAGACACACACTGTCTTTCTCCTTACTCTTTCCACAACTTAATCCAATCTACCCTTTAATCCTGTTATTCCATAATATTTATTCTTGTCAATGATGACAATGACCCCATATCACTAAATTCAATAAACATGTTTCAGTCTCTGACATGACCTCTCAGCAGCACTGAACAGTATTTATAACTCGTCCTTAAAACACAGAAGTATTTACTTGATTTTTCTCCTATTTGTAATAATTTTATCTGTCTCCTCTTTCAGGAGCATCTCCTTCTACTCAGCCATCAAATGTGATAAATTCCTCCAGCTAAACTTAGGCCCTTTCTCATTCTGTGTTCTATGTGCATGGTTTCCACTATACAGATGACTCAGAAATGCTCTCTAGCCCAGACCTCTAGCATCAATCCAAGAAAACAGCTGCAAACAACAAAACTTGATTATGACCAATTTAAGCAAAAATAGAACTTGTTAAAAAGATACTGTATGTCACAAATTCCAAGAATAGCTAGAGACCCAGCCTAAGAGGCTATACAACAAGGAGCAGTGCCCAATCTCATGCCACCACCACAACCAAGCAATAAGGGCTGCAGCGTCTATCACTACCATGAGCAATACCACAACTGCCCTGGAAACAGTATCTTACTTTAACTGTCACCACTGCCAGAGAGGATTCTTTCTAAGGCTCACTTCCTGATATCACTCATTCCCGTTCAAAATCTTGGGTAGGCACATTTGATTAAAGAAGCCTATGCCACATCAATCTCTTCTTGCTCCCAGACTATAAAAGAGGAAATTTTCCAAACATAAGAAATGGATTTAAAGGCTGGGAAGTCAAAAAGAATAGCACCTTCCCATACTGAGCTCCAGACCTACCTGTCTAATTATCAATATAGCAATCCATCTTAGTCCATTCCCGCACAGTAACAAAATGCCACAGACTTGGTGATTCATAAATAATAGAAATTTGTTCCTCAGAGTTCTGGAAGTTAGAAAGTACAAGATCTGGTACCAGAGGATTCAGCGTTTGGCAAAGTTTCACTTTCCACTTCCAAGAAAGTACCTTGCTGCTACATCCTCCAAAAAGAACAAATGATGTGTCCTCATAGGACAGAAGAGCCAAAAGGGATGGAAGGGACAAACTTGCTCCCTCAAGCCCTTTTATAAAGGCACTAATGCCAAGCTTTCATGGCC